TCCCAGCACAATTAGAAATAATTATGTTAATAATGTTTTATTAATTATCAGGTTACAACATTGTAAAAGCAAGTTATATCACTGAAAAAAGCACACGAGGGAGAGAGATAGACTCGAATAGAATAAATTATTTATTAAATCTAGAAAAATCTAATCATCTAAGCACTTCACCAACGGTGCCACATCTTTGCACGTGAGAACAGGTGGTATAGATTCCAAGCAATCGAAATTTTTCTCGGATTCTTGACCATTCATTATTTGGTAGATTCGTTTCTTTATTAACTCTGGATAAATCGTCCCGTCCTCCCCCATGTAATTTTTCTTCAACAATCGACATCTCACAAAGCATAAGACTTCCTCTGTAAAAATTCCATTCGCCAGTTCGATTAACTTTTCTTCTATGTTGTCAACGTTAACCTGTTGCTGGCAAGTGACGTCGATGTGGTTTAAGTCATCGAAATTGTCTTCAAGATCGGCGTACTAAAAAAAAACAAGTTTTTTCCAATTACTTCAAGGTTATTTTTGCTTAAACTTAGACCATTTAATTGCGTAAAGTGAAATATATCATATTTTATTAAAACTTACCTTTTCTGACGCCACAGAAGCGTAAGAAACGCAAAGTAGAAGGAACGGTGGATAAAACATTGTCGTTGAATACTTATTGTGGCAAAATTTTTACCATAATGCCGCCACGGTTGGATGAAAATGATTCAAGAAAATAACAGCTGTGGACACTCATCAAATCCACACAAAAAAGGAAGTTGTTCAATGAAATGATATTTAATAACATATAATTGGATAAAAAATAAAAATAAAAAAAAGAAAGTGAACTAATAAATCGTGATGCAGGTGTAGTTTTCTTCAAAAAAAACTTTAGTCATGTAATATCTCTGTAAAAAAAAGGGGTCACTAATTTTAGTACAGTGTGACATATTTAGTAATAATTTTTCACGTCACCTTCTGTTTGTTTACCTTCTACAGTGTTCATGGGTTGTTTACTATTTGTCATGACTTTTTTTTATTGGTTTAGTAACGTAATTTTTGGACTTTTGTCAGTGGCAAACTCGTTCTGTCAATTCTATTATTATTGCTCTCATCTCCTCAGATTATACTTAGACGTTAGCTACGTTCACAGAGTAGGAAAAGTAGTCTAATCCTACTCCGTGGCTATGTACACAGAATTTATTCGTTTAGAAAACTTGTTTTTGTTTCTTTCAAAAATTATAAAATACGTTTTTGCGAAAATTTACTTTTTTGTGATAACCTCTATGGAGTAAAACAACGCAGAAAGCACTCTAGCCACAGTATAAGAGAAAAAATAAGGTTTCACCCTTCTTAAAAAAAAAGACTGTTTCAGACTCTTAAAAAATGACATTTGGGGCCCCGAGAAGGTTTCATCACCCCCTTAAAAAAAAATTGAAAATTATTTCGACAGAAATTCGTTCATCTTAAAATCTAGTCAGACTAATCCCGCTTCTTTAAATTATTATAAAATTTTATTTTGGGATTTTTGTTTTGGTATAACTGATATTCACATTTTCTCAGTACATGTTTAATTTCTACTAGATATGTTAATATGTACTTCGAAAAATTTCGACTATTAACGCTTTCAGATGACAAGCATCAGCGGTTAAAAGGAAATGAAATTTGATTTTGTCTCCTCAACGCACTCATAAATTTGAAGAACATCCATTAGGCAAAATTGTAGGATGACGGACAAATTTTGATTAACGATTTATCTTGCTTCCACTAACCTAAAAGATTAACAGATATTTCAAAGTTAAATTGTAAAATATTGCTACGTTGATCGGTGAATAAAGTCGGCGTGGGTTAAATTCAACAATTTAATTATTAATAACTCGAATTTACACAACTAGCTATTACAGCGATTTTGTACAAAATAATTCCGGCGTAACTTCACTGGACTCTCTTGACTCAACTGGCTGAATAATAATCGTTCCCGAAGGTGGCCTATATTTATTTAAATTGAGAACTATCTTGTGCTTATTATAACAGTCTTTGCATTGCACCCATATAGGATTGTACTGGCAATGGTACGGTGGAAGGCGAATTGGTTAATATCACCTAAACCCTAAATAATGTGACAAATAGTTTTGGCATTTTAAAAATTTTGCGCCACCTCTAAAAGGTCGCCAACCTTTAAGTTTTAGTGATTGCAGGAATGCATCTGTTAGTCATTTTTAGCCATCCGAAATCACTAATATTTACTATTATATTGTTCCCCTTTTTAAAATTAGCTAAAGAGTTCAAATAAACAATTACAGACCAGTATGTATTCACTCATGTATTGCTAAGATCTTGGTTAAGTTGATAAGTTAATTATTTGTCAAAATTTATACATCCTATGATACTAGAGGAACGACATGGGTTTATTGAGAACTAATCAGCAGTGTCAAATGTATTGTTACGAAATAAACCCATACGCTGCCCCGGTACGACGCCTATGGGTTTTCTAGTATGTGGGAAAGCCTGGAAGCGGAAGTCGCGACTGTTCGAGAACGATCGCGTTGCTCTTTAAATGGGAACCACCGACGGGAGCAGTTAGTGTAGTCCGAACAGTGGGAGAAGTAGAGTCTAGTCAAATCCATTCCCGTCGGAATTATTTTGTACATAATACCCGTGCATCGTAACAGTATTTATGTTTGTCAATTTCGTCTTTAAGGCATTTGAGAAGAAGAGTTTAGTGGATGAAATTTAGCAAGGTTTTTAACAGGGTGAACCACAATAGATTAATAATAAAGTTATAAAAAATGGATATTTCAGACCCCCTTCTATATTGGTTTCAATCATCCATCTTAGGGCTTAAAGAAACTGTAAAAAGCAATAGATTCTGTTGTAGCTATTATGGGGTTATATCTAGAGTCCCTCAGGAGTCCCATCTTGGTCCACTATTTTCCTGACTTGTATAATTATATAAATGATATTAAACAGGAAGTTCAGAGATCTAAGTTTTTACTATTTGTTGACAACTATGTTGTCAGATGTTATGGTAAAAAAACGGAGTAAGCCGTTCCCGATTTAATCAATACAATAAATTGACTCATTCATTAATTTTTATGAGTCACCCTGTATAAGAAATTTAAAAACTACTTTTAATGCACCGTTAAATCACAAGTTTAGACTCATCATATTTTGCACAATTTGGATAGGATTTATTCGGCAAAATTTTGAGATGACGTCATCCATTTTTTGGGAGGGGTAAACGAATAATTTTGTTTAACGATTTACCATGATGACCTTAAAATATTTACAAGATTTTAGAGCAATCGGTTTTGCAGTTTCAAAGTTATATGTATTGCAAAATATTGTTGCTCAGTTTTGAATTTTTTCCAAAAATTCTGGATGTCTAGGGCGAAAATTCGACACGGAGTCACACACCACAAGTGCAGGGGTATCTTATTCTACAAAATTATAAAAAAACTTTCTATTATAAATTTTGTAGATGACGTCATCCCATTGGTGGTGGGGATGATTATCCGAATTTTAGTTAGCGTTGAACCATATACATGATTTTCCTAATGTACATACAAAATATGACAACAATCGGTCTAGTAGGTTCGGAGATTATTTGACTAATAAAAATACAGACAGACAGACAGACAGACAGATAGACAGACAGACGGAAACCACAGACTACTTTTTTCGTACTCTAGAGGTCATGGCAAGTTGGGAAAATATGAAAGTGGAAATTCGGCCGATGGACTCGATTACAATACTTCCTTAGCTTACGCTGGGGAAGTAAAAATGTTAACTGAAAACCCAAATAAATAAACAAACAAGAAATACATGATTTTTTTTTCTTTTTTTTTTGTCAGTTGTTTAGCTTGAAGGTGCTTTGAAGTTCCAAAAGACTTTCTAAAGCCTCCTTGTTCTATTGGTTTACATTAGTAAATGTATCTGATTTTTGCAGTAATCTATATTAATAATGCATTATCAAAGACAGCCATGGATTTTTTAAAGTTTATCGTTAACCGTTGCGTTGTCAATTCAAACTTTCCAATTGACAAGACCAAAATTCTGTCAAAGAGAAATCTTCAAAAATCTATTGTTCTCATTGGTCGTGTCATGTCAAGCTTTTTATTTTACTCTCCATCTTTTGACATATGTCAAAAAAAAAATTACGTCAAATTTGGAAAAGTAATGACGTCATCAATGATTTTTTAAATAGGAAGAAATAATTTGGATTGCATTATTTGGTAAAGCTTATTTTTCAGCATAAGAAAATGTAGTTTGATGTAGCGGTTGCATAACAAAAAAATTGATAAAATTAATAATTATTATTAATAAATATTAAATAAACAGAACAATACACATTCACTATCTGATCTGACACGGAATTTTAAATACTCTGGGGAATTATAGGAGTCGTTTCATGACGAATTCGTGCTTTCAAGTCGTCTAAATTATCGGATCTGTTCATGTAAACACGACTTTTTAAATATCTTCATAAAAAAAAATCAAGGGGTATCAGACCCAGAGATCTCAGTGGTCATTCTATTAGTCGACGCCTTCCAATCCAACTTCCATCAAATTGATTATCGAAATTTGCTGATCTGCTGTTAAATTTCTGTGAAAAAAGTAGGCGCCAATGAATCTTCTGTTTATTATTTCCACCCAAACATTAATTTTTTGGGGACGTTGGGTGTGTGACGTTTGAACCCAATGAGGTTGTTGTCGAGCCCAGTAATGACACTATTTAAAACATTCAAGCTTAGTTCAAGCTGAATATAGTCTACTGAAAATCTAATGTTATTGCCCAAATCTGATTTAACCAAACCAAAATAGCTGAACACGTTTTTTAGTCTCAAAATGGTCATCCGAAAATAACAAAGTTAATGAATCCCCGGCTTCAGAGTCGGGCCGAATCGGGCTGGAGACCGGTCTAAATAAAACACACACCTCTTCAGTCAAAGCAATTTTTGGAACATACTTATCACAAATAAGAAATAAACATAAACATACATAAAATAAATCTCCAAGTGCTTAAAACATTTCATTCAAACTTAATTCAGATTGTTGTGGAAACATTCTCGTTCTTTCTGTATGTCTGCACAAGTCTCGATCTTCCCCATGTTTTCAAGACAAGCCATGACATCATCTTTTTTATCGTCAGGTATGTGCGAGAAAACAGGTAAGGCTTTCATATTATCCAAATCTATCGTACCTTCAGCGTCTACATAACCTTGTTTTTCTTGCAAACACTTAGCAAAGCAAAGCAAATTTTCAGGAACTTCATCGCCGGTTGCAGCAAGCTTGAGATCATCAACCTTCATCCCTAACTGTTCCAAACAGTAATCTCTGGCAGCCATAAAATCTTCATCAGCCAAAAGTTCCTCACGAAATGTCTGTAAAAAATAATAAAATAAAATAAATTTGAAAAAGATATTTTTACTTTGAGATCCATAGCGGATGCACAAATTGCACAAAGGAGGAAAACACTTAGTTGCAACATTGTTTGGTTCGAAGTGGTCAGTTCGAGTATGGTTCGAATATGTTGAAGATTTAGCCTTGCTTTGCTTTTATAAGTTTGAAACGCCAACACTTAACGCTAAATTATTACTATTGGTAGAATAACACAGGAATTGGTATAATTATAAAAAACTTGATATGACTATGATTATCTGTAACCATGGAAGCTGAGTACATTCAAGCTGTGACATTATGTGCTAACAAAACGTCGGGATTATCATAACATATTATTTTTTCATCATCAATCAATCAAACTTTTTTTTCATCCTTGGGGAAAGATTTTTTGCAAAATTAGATCATTAGAAGCGAAAATAGAGAAAAGAATTTCAAAATCTTACAAAAAATGTATTACATTTTCACATATTTCAGTTATGCCCAAAAATTGCTTAATAAAACATTGAAAAACAAAATTCTTAAGTTTAAAAAAAATACTTTAGTTAAATAAAATAAAAGTTAAAAAACCGCAACAAATAGATAGGTATTTTTTTTTTAATTGCGCTAAATGAAATCATCCTTTTAGAAACACTAACAATACAAAAATAACTTGAAACTTCTCTCGTCACGGTTTGGGAATGAAAAAATTTAACATAATAACAGGGTACATTTTTGTTGATCATGAGTCAATTATCACAAATTTTTAGATTAAACAACCTTGACTACACTGGTATAAAAATCTTCCATCATTTAGCTTTATACCAAAACATCCACCATGTCACAAAAAGCACATTTATATTTTTGCATCATTGTAGTCCTGTTTAAAGTAAAAACTAGTCCCTCATTAAAAACCATCAACCTTTTTTTGTTAATTTTCAGATATCTGCAAGCAAGAAAGATGCCTTCATGGACGAAAAATTCGCGCCCCTTAGAGAACAGTGTCTGGCGGAAAATTCCATGACGATTGATGATCTTACATCCGGGTGGCACTTAGAAGATATTCCAGAGAAAAATCTGTGTTTCCACAAGTGCTTGATGCAGAAGATGGGATTAATCGATAATGAAGGCGTTATTCAGGAAGATAAAGTTGCCGAAATGGTTGAACTTGCTGATCTTACTGACGAGGAGCGTGAAAAGGCGGTACAGTGTGTCAAAGATATCAAGAAAATTGAAAAATGCGAAGATTCTCATAAAATATTTGCATGTCGTACTAAATCTGGTTGATTTACAATAAAGTTGGTGCAGTATTATTAAGTAATATAATTTCAAGGTACAGTAGGTAACTTCTTTTATCCAGTTCAGTTCTCTTCCATCTTCGCTTAGCACTTCTTCTCTACTTTCCTCCGATTCTCTCAACCCTTCACATCCCTCCAGGTCTATTGTTTCTCCCTCTCTCCAACATATCCTACATTTTCTGTCAGTTTCATCCAACCAAAAATTATTTTCTTTCTCTTCATTTCCACACCTAAATCTCGCCGTCATTCTTTTCTCCTTTTACTCTCTCTCTGTGTGTGTATTTTGGTACTTCATCCTTTACTATTTTTCTATACTCTGCATTGTATCTAGACTCCGATATTATCCTTACCTCTTACACTCAGTTTTTCTTTCATACTCCTTTCCATTTCTCTCATTCTCTCTATTTCTTCACATGCTTATCCCTTTCCTTCATAATACTTGTCTCATTCGTTCCAAACATGTTTTCCCCCTTCCTTTCTTATTTCTTTCCAAAATTGTTGCAATATTTTACAATCTCCTCTCTCACTAAACTTCTCTTCAAATCCAACCGCCCTTTTACCCGCTTTCACTCTCATTTTCTCCCTTTTTGTTTCTTCTCTCACAGTGTACCCCGGCGTATACTTTTTCAATCCCAATCTCCATTTTAAGTATTTTTCTTGCACTCTCTCTATTTCTTCATATTCCCTCCATCCCCAAATCTCAGCTTCGTAATATCCGTTCGCAAAACTCCCGCACTGTCAGAATGACATTCTGTTGGTATGAGAAATAATCCCCTAAAAGATTTTTTAGTTTATATGATTACCGCCTTGAATTTCAAATTTTCAAAATTAATGAATGAAAAATCAAATGTTAATTAACTATTTTATCTTTTTGATTTGCTGAAGTGTTCAATGTGTTTAAAGAACTTGTCAGTAATTCAAACAAATTGTAGCACCAGAAGCGTAGAAATGGACAGTAAGATCAAAAATATATATTATTCAAAAAAAGCTTTCGTTGTCGTTTCTGTGTCATACTCTTTCTTTACTTGAATTGATAAAAATCTTCAGTTAATGTGCTTTTGACATTTTTATTTGACAAGTTATTTTTAGTTACTAATTTGTCACTAGATTGCAATTTTGCAACATATTGTACAGGTTTTTCGTATCTCACGACTGAGTACACTCAGGTCATTTTTTCCAAATCTGACACTGACAGTGCGGGAGTTTTGCGAACGGATATTACATAAATACATTTTTGATCAAACTATCAAACATCATCATTCTTCTCTTATAATCATGTCCAAATTTTCTCTCTCCTATTGCCCATACTATTCCTATCACCTTGTTCGCTTTTCGCACCATTTCTTGAATTTCTCTATTCTTTAATGTATATCCTAAGTACTGGAATTTTTTCACCTGTTCAATCTTCTTTCCTCTCCATGCCCACTCTTCCTTCTCCTTTCTTACTCTCTTCCCAAACACCACCATTTTTGTTTTTTCCACATTCACTTCCAATTCCTTTTTTTGTACGTACTTCTCAAAACCTTTAATCATTGTTTTCATTTCTTCTCTTTTCTTTGCCGACTACCACCCCTCCAGGCTGTGCTTTTCTGAACATTTCATCTATATCTCCTAGATAAGCTGCAAACAATACAGGGCTGAGTGGGCATCCCTGTCTCACTCCTCTATTTCTATAAAAACTCTCACTCTCACCTTACTCACTGTTTCTTCATGTATTTCTTCCATTTTCGTTACCAGGTACGCATCTACTCCCTTTCTCTTCAAATACTCCCACATTTTCTCTCTATTCACGCTATCAAACGCTGTTTTGAAATCTATGAACAATGCGTACATTCGTCCACCTTCTTTCCTTATTTCTTTTCCCACTAAATACCGCAGGATATACACATTGTCCATAGTACCTCTTCCTTTCCTAAACCCTGCCTGACCATGTGGTAACATACCTCTTGCTTCCATCTCATTGCGTATATCTCGTACGCCGTATTGAGCAAGGTGATCTCTCGGTAGTTTTCACATCACTTTTTTGCCCTTTTTTAAATAATGGGATTATTATACCTTCTCTCCACTGCTGAGGAAACCCTTTTCCCTTCCAAACCTCATCTACCACTTCCCATATCCTTTATTTCACCCCTTCTGTCCCGAACATCCACGCTTCGTTCTGGATTCCATCCCCTCCTGGTGCCTTTCCTCTTTTCAGTTTTTCAATCTGTCTTCCCATTTCATTTTCTGTTATTTCCGAACCTCTCCAGATTTCTTGCGTCGTTGTGATTCCTTTATTTATTTTGCAGCATTTTTCCTCACAAGCTTCCAATAATTCCATAAAGTGTCTTTTCCATTCATGTATTTTGATTTTCCTACTGACTTCAGTCTTCCTTCTCCGTTCCTTGTTTATATATCTCCATACTTCTTCTTCTGTTTTCAGGGACTTTATTGTCTTCTCTTCTTCTTCTCGTTTTTCTCTTTTTCTTTCTTCACATTTTCTCTTATAGTTCTCTCTTGCTTTTAAAGACTCCTCTTTCCTTCCCCTGTTATTCTGTCATTTTCTTAATTTTTCCCTTGCTTTTCTTTTCTTCCGTTTCTTCTCTCTTGTTTTTCGTACTCTTGCTCTTTTCCTTTAATTTTTATTTCTAATGCCATGTGGTCTAATTCTACCCTTTCCCCCACTTTAAAACTCTCTATTTCTTCCCACGCCTCTTCGTTGATAATCCCATTTCTTCTATTAACTTCCACAATATTTTCCCTTCTTTGTTATTTGCTTTGTCTTTTGATCCTCTGGATTCTGGATTCTGGATTCTGGATTCTTAATTTATGGGGGCTGACCGTGGCCAGCCGGCACTTAGGCCTCGCCTTTGGGCCCATTGTACCTTCCCCAAGTCCATATCAGGGTGTTTTCCCGCTCCTCTACTCGTCAAGCCACCCAACTGCTTGAATGTACTTGAGTAATGCAGAGGGTGGAAACTCCCTGATATTTGCCATACTAGGCCAGATGTCCCCTAGTATGGATTCCCTGTAGGAGGCTAGGGCTGGACACTCACGAAGAATGTGCTCAGCTGTTTCCTCTTCTTCATTGCATCCACGACAGATTGGGTCTGTTACCACCCCTATCGTATATAGATGTTTGTTAAACTGGTAATGTCCCGTAAGGAATCCTACCAGTTTACGCAGTTTGTCCCTTGAAAGTGAGAGATAAAATTTCGTCAACTTACGGTCTGGTGTCGCCATACAAGCTCTACTATGCCGACAGCTGCTCAACTTCACCCATATCTGCTCATGGCGTCTCTGGGTATATTGCTTTACGAGTTCGTTCGAGAGGGCGACCGAAGGCGTGATTGCCGGTTCGGGTCCCCAGAAGGGCATGCGCGCGGCTCGCTTCGCCATCTCATCTGCCCTCTCGTTTCCTTCGTTGCCACTGTGTCCTTTGATCCAACAAAGTTCCACACTATTCCTCTGCGTTACATACTTTAGCGTTTGTCTGCACTCCCAAACCAGCCCGGATCGAACCATACAGCTGTCCAGGGCTAGTAGTGCAGACTTGCTGTCAGTAAGTATGCGTATTGATTTGTTGCCGATTTCACGTTCAGCAATGATTCTAGCTCCCAGCATTATTCCCATCAGTTCTGTTTGTAAGACAGACGTGTGGGTGCCGAGAGGTACACTAATTTGTGCGTTCAGTTGTTCGGAGTAGATGCCGGCTCCTGAACCACTATCTGTTTTGGCACCATCGACATAGATATCTATGTCGGCTCGTCCTTCTGAATTATCATTCATTGATATTCTATATGTCTTCTCATATATTAATTTTGTGCCCATTCGGTCACAGCCCATCCTTAACAAGGGTATTCTGTTGAACGCCTCCGTTAAGATCCGAGTGTGCTTCGTTGTGCGGCCTTGTTTGTTCCATACTCCCAGAGAGTGAAGTCTTAGAGACGTCGTCATTGCCGCTTCCTCTATGTAAAGGTTAAGAGGTGCTAAGCAAAGAAGAGTCTCCAGAGCCGCTGTGGGAGTGGTCCTCATTGCTCCTGTAACACTGAGACACGCCATTCTCTGAACGTGTTCAAGTTGCAGGGCTGTTGTTTTTTGTCTGGCTCTGGGCCACCAAACTAAAGCTCCATAGCACAGCATCGGTCTGACTATTGCCGTGTAGATCCAGAGGGCGATCTTGGGATTTAAACCCCACGACCTTCCCACCACCCTACGACATTGCCAAAGAGCCGAGCGTGCCTTTTCTACTTTATCATCTACATGCTTCTTCCAATTCAGTCGCCAGTCCAATGCAACTCCCAGGTATTTGACTTCGTCCGAAAGTTGAAGCGTTGTGTTAAATATTTTTGGCATCTGTAGTGTGCCAATTTTCCTTTTCCTGGTGAACAGGATTAGTTTCGTCTTTTCTCCATTAACGGAGAGGGTATGTCTGCTGCACCATTCCTCGACTATTTTTACTGCAGCTTGCATTATCTCACATAATGTATCTGCGTTTTTTCCTGTTAGCAGAATGACTAGATCGTCCGCGTATCCAATTGTGTGGTAGCCAAGATCATTGAGGCGTCGTATCAGGCTGTCAACGACAGTATCCCACAGTACAGGAGAGAGAACTCCTCCCTGAGGACATCCCCTGTCTACAACAGCCTCGATCTCAGTGCCACCTACATTAATCATTACTTCCCTGTTCCTCAGCATACCGGCCACCCACCTACTCAGGGTGGGGTCCACGTCGTGCTCTCGTAGGGCTAGCTCTATGCTTTTGAAAGTCGTTTTATCAAACGCTCCTTCAATATCCAAAAACATTCCTAAGGTGAAGAGTTTGTTCTCCATCGCCCACTCTATACGGTTTACAACTGTGTGTAGGGCCGTATCGGTGGATCTTCCTTGGATGTAGGCATGTTGGTTCGGATGTAGAGGTTGCTTGCTCAAAGCAGTCTCCCGAATCTCTTTTTCGCTTAGTCTTTCTAGCGTTTTCAGCAAGAATGATGTTAAGCTAATTGGTCTGTA